AGTGGAATGGGGTTGAAATAAACTACCCCCTATCATTCTTGTTAATGAAATTTAAAGAAAAATCTTATCAAACACATGCAAAAAATTAATTTTGATAGTTTAGTTTATTTAGAAACTTTTTTATCTCTTGTGTTTTTTTGATAAAACTCACCGATTTGAAATTAAAAATAAAATGTAAAAAGCATTACATGTCAGGACAAAAAACATTTTTAGATAAAAGAATCTAGTGGGCAGCTGTAATTTTTTTAGGAAAAATCTAGTCGGCCGCTGTCACTTTTAGGATGTTTCTAATATTGTTTTATTTGACATTACGCTACTGCAATACGTTATTATCTAGATTATTATTATTATCATTATTATCACTAGATTCTTAATCTAAAATATTTTTAGTCCTGACATGTAATGCTTTACATTTTATTTTTTTTTAATTTCAAATCGGTGAGTTTTATCAAAAACACACAAGAGATAAAAAAAGTTTCTAAATAAACTAAACTACCAAAATTAATTTTTTTGCATGTGTTTGATAAGATTTTTCTTTAAATTTCGTTAACAAGAATGATAGGGGTAGTTTATTTCAACCCCTTCCACTCATTTTAAAAGTGAAAAATTACTAGAAAGTGTGTTTTCATAACAGTAATGCTTCCATAAAATTTCATTAGTCTATCTCTTTTCGTTTCCAAGATAAAAAATAAGAACATTATTTTTCCGCCATCTTTGTACCGCGATATCTCCCTAATGGTTGACTTTTGACCCAACATATATGAAGCAAACTACCCTTTATTTTGAACAAGGAATCACCCCCTGAAGTTTTTCGCATTTGTTTTGAAACACCCTGTATATATATATATATATATATATATATATATATATATATATATATATATATATATGAATAGCATATATATATATATATATATATATATATATATATATATATATATATATATATATATATATATATATATATATATATATATATATATATATATATATATATATATAGATATGTATATAATTTAATATATTTACCTTTACCCGACCCCTGAGAGCGACCCGAACAGTACAGCGTAATAGCCTCTTAAAAATAAAGTAAAAATATTTTGCTATACCTACGTGAAAATGGTATAGTACGCATAGGGTATACCGCTCTTCCCTCTGGATACATAGCATTCATATATCCGTGCAGATCGGTATATTTATTGATCAGCTCGCCGCAATCGGGACTTTACAATAAATTTCCACAATATATATGTAACGAGCCCAAATAGTGCCGTATGCGGTACGATAACGCGTCGTTACCCGATCTCTGATTTGTTTCGCATCGCCATACACGCGCGCATTTGCCGGCCGCAAAATTGCTCCTCTTCGACGCCACAGAGCGACAAATAAACTAGCCAAGTTGCGCCACTAGGGTCGTGTGAATTTTTCGTCAATATCCATTGGGAGAAGAACATTCAAAAGTCCCTGTTTTCGAAGTGAAACTTGGGAGTAAAAATTCAAGGCCGTGGCACACGAGCTAGCGAGATGAAAAGTGTGTATTTTGGGTGGTATTCCACAAAATATGCAGACCAATGAGAAAACAGAAAATGTACAGGGTGGGCCAAGTTGGACGCTTTTAAAGGGAAACACCTTTTTCTATAGGAAATTGACAAAAACTAATATCGGTGTCTGGAGCTCAATTTTTGTCAAAAACATGATGGTGAAAACCGCACATCGATATCTGTTACCGTTTCGGAGGTACGGGGTGTTTTTCAAAAATGTGCATTTTTAACAAATCGCTGTAACTTTTTTGCTATGAAAAATTTTGTATTTTTTCATTGTTACGTAGAATTTAATGGTTTAAGTATAATTTTTTTAAAATTAATAATTTAAGAGTTATCAACAGAAAAATTGATTTTTTATTTGGGACACCCTCTATATTTTTAATTAACTGAAAAGAATTTAAAATTACCTTTCCAAAAATATAGCACACTTGACATTTTGTTATAATCCCCTTCGAAATACAGAATTTTTAAAAGTTCGCCACTTTTAACTAGTAGGCTTTGGACCACTTATTGATGGTATGCCCTTAATGGAACTCGAAAACATATTTTTCCAGCAAGACGACGCACCGCCTCTGAACGCTGAAGTTATCAGCAAATTTTTGCAGCAAATTTCAAGAATAATTGAATAGCTAACCAAGATCCCAAACGTTGGCCGTCGAGGCCGCCTGACTTAGTGCCCATGGATCTAATCCTATGGATATATTTACGGAAGAATAAAGGTTCCTTATTTTTACTTAGCAGTTATGAGAGGGTATCTTTCACCCCTACTGAGTTAATGAATTCCGCGAGAAATGTTCAAAAACTGCCCCGTCTGTCCATAACAGAAGACGGTCGATATGTCGAAAACCTGTAGCAAAATCTGATGTCTTGGTTTGCTGTTTATTTTTATTGTTATTTTTTTTTGTTTCGTTTCTTTGACCTGTATACTATATATTTTTTTGTTTTCACTCTTGGCTTTAGGTCGTTGGGGTTGCAAAGATGTTTCTAGATTTTGTTCATTATTTTTTTATTTTGTGACGACGTTTCGACAGTATATGTCTTTTTCAAGCCTCTTTAAGTACATAAAAACAGTCAGTTAAAATCAATAAGATAAAATGTCAAACTAAAAGGTCTTACCTTGAACGTAGATTCTTACAGAGTTAAAATTTGTTAAACTGGACAACACAATAACACATATTAACTATTGTTTTTAATTGTTTTTGGACATTACACTTTACTATAGAGCACGTACGTATTTCCTTGCAGATCGCTCTGTATAAAACACATTTATCGTTTCAATACCCGATGTCTACTAGTTGTTCTTAGTGCGTTAGAGGATCGACAGATATATTTTGCTTAGATTTTTAGGTCTTTTTATCATTTACCGCGTTTTTTGTTTTTTTTGTATCTCCACCATTTCATAAAATTCTCTCTTTTGGTGATTTTCTGTTTTTAAAATTTTAGTTTTATTAAAATCGAATGTATGATTTTCTGTTGACACATGATTTGTGAGGGCGGTTACATTTTTTTTTATCATACTTGTGCCCTTTCAGTCTATTTTCTAACCGTTGAGAAGTTTGTCCTATGTAAACTTGGGCGCAGTTCGAACATGGAATTTCATATATAACATTGCTTCGTTTGTTTAACGGTGTTATTTACAGATTTTAGTTTAGAGAAATTATTAGCTAACAAGTTATGTGCTTTATGACAAATCGTTATATTATACTTTTTGTGTAACCCTTTGTAAATTGTTGAGACAACCCATTTACGAAGGGGAGCGCAATATATCGTGTATCTTTTTAATGTTTTTTATTTTCTATTTGATTTTGATTGTTTTTGTGTTTAAGAATTCTTGGAGTCTATCTTTGAATATTTTTGTTTATTAGTTTTTGTGGATGGTTATTTTCTTTTAATGCATTTTTTGCTTTTTTTATTGCAGCATCTCTATATTCTGGGTCGGATAGACGAATTGATCTGTCCGCCAAGCCAATTATCACCGATCTTTTTTGGTTAGCTGGATGGTTAGATAAAAAATTGAGATATCTTGAGGACCAAGTTTTCTTTTTTTCACCATCATCATTTTTATTGTTATTAGATATAGTTTAAATGTGTTGATGTTGGTTAAATATATTTTAAATTGTCATAAAATTCTGCATCTCCCATTGCATTACAGCCGGTGCCGTTCAAAGCCTACTTATTTAAAGCCGGCGAATTTTAATATATACTCTATATCTCGAAGAGGAACCAAGCAAAATATCAAATGTGTTATATTTTTAGAAAGGTAATTTTAAATTCTTTTCAATAAATTAAAAATATATAGGGTGTCCCATATAAAAAAATCAAATTTTCTGTTGATAATTCTTAAATTATTAATTTAAAAAAAAATATACTTAAACCGTCAAATTCTACGTAAAAAGGTGCTTTGGAAATGTTTTCATAAAAATACAAAATTTTCCATAACAAAAAAGTTACAGCGATTTGTTAAAAATGCAGATTTTTGAAAAACACCCCGTAACTCCGAAACGGTAACAAATATCGATATGCGGTTTTCACCATCATGTTTTTGACAAAAATTGAGCTCCAGACACCGATATTAGTTTTTGTCTATCTCCTATAGAGAAGGGTGTTTCCATTTAAAAGCGTCGAATTTGACCCACCCTGTACAGATTACAGATATATTTTTATATATCACCTTTTCAAACATGTCCTTCAAATTCTTCAATTTAATAGCTGTTAGTAAGTAGCTTCACCGAATACTGTTTTTTTTGTTAAATATCTATCAAAGAAGAACTATCTTAACAAATTTTGTAGTATATTATTTTTTTCCAAAAGTCTCAAATGAATTCACTTGTTTACCTATTTAACCGTCTAAAAGTTAAGTAAAACTAACCCTTCTTAGAAAATTTCCAATAAAAAACAGCTTAAAACCTATACTATATCGTTTAGACTCGATATAATCTTTAACCAACTTTTCAAAAAAGAATTTAAAAAAAGGAGAAAAAGATACACAATAAATGCCGATAAAAAGTCGAACACAAAGCCTCTGTGGTATTTCTTTTTTGCGGATTTTTTCGAGAGTTTTCACCCCTTTCATCGTTGTTTGCTTTCAACCCTTTCGAGGTTAAAACGGTGTAAAAAGGCACCAGAAAATGAAAAATCGCTGTTTGATTTACCTTTCCAGCGATTAGACAATTTAGTAGATGATCGCCAGCGATTATAACTGCATACAGGGTGGAAAATAAGTGCGTAATATCTCAGTAAAGTGTTTTTTTTTTAATTTTTATATTAGTCATGGTAAGGATTAATCAAGGTTATAAAAATTATGTTTATTTTTTCCAATTTTCAGTATTTCCTTTTGTGTATAATCAAAAATTTTGTTGTCAGTTGTTGTTTCTTGTTATAATCAACGTATATTATACAGGGTGCGCCTGACCCTATATTATACACGGTGACGCCTTAACATAAAAAAAGACTCACCAGTATGCAGTCTGGTATGCTGTTGGACATGACTGAGTTGCTTGAAGCGTCGATCACAGTAGGAACATTTGTAGGGCTTTTCACCCGTATGGACTCGGATATGTTGCACCAATTGATGGTTTGAGCTGAAGGACTTGAGACATTGCTGACATTGGTGCGGCTTGACCTCGGACCTTCCGCTCAAGTCACCCCTTGCATGCATCTGCATAGCAGATTTGTGCATGAAAATCTGTAAAGAAAGATAGAAGAACGGGTTAGTATGGGGTATAACAAAGAGGGGTTGTGGTGTAGTGTACGTGATGTGGAGTGTATTATTGGTCGATTTATGAGCATGATTTGGTGCGGAGTGTGTTAAAATTAATAAAATTATAAAGAAAAATTAAGTTCTCTCTTTTTAAGAAATAAATAAATTAAAAAAATTTTAGTCGTTTTCGAAAAAAAAATTGTAATAACGTGATTGGTTTAAACTGTTGAAAAAAATATTAATAAAAATCTAAGAAGATTGAAACTATACTTGCCGTATGCAGAATTTTATATTCTATCAGAATATGTCTTAGTTAAAGCTGAAACATTAGTAGTTTTGAGGGAGAGCCCGGGAGAGACAACGGTAGTTCCGCTTATTTTGTCCTAAGGTTGAAAAAACAGTATGTGTTTTTCAATCGTTGAAAAAAAATATTAATAAAAATCTAAGAAGATTAAAACCATACTTGTCGTATGCAGAATTTTATATTCTATCAGAATATGTCTTAGTTTGAACTGAAATATCAATAGTTTTGAGGGAGAGCTCAGGAGAGACAGCGATTGTTCCACTTAACATGTCTTAGAGCTGAAAAAAAACAATACGGGTTTTTAAACGGTTGAAATTTTTTTTAATAAAAATCTAAGAAGATTCAAACTATATTTGTCGTATGCAAAATTTTATATTCTATCAGAATATGTCTTAGTTTGAGCTGAAATATTAGTAGTTTTAAGGGAGAGCCCGGGAGAGACAGTGGTTGTTCCACTTAATATTTCTTAATGTTGAAAAAACAGTACAGAGTATATAAACCGTTGAAAAAAATATTAATAAAAATCTAAGAGGATTCAAACTATACTTGTCGTATTCAGAATTCTATATTCTATCAGAATATGTCTTAGTTTGAGCTGAAATATTAGTAGTTTTAAAGGAGAGCTCGGGAGAGACAGTGGTTGTTCCACTTAATATTTCTTAAAGTTGAAAAAACAGTACAGAGTTTATAAACCGTTGAAAAAAATATTAATAAAAATCTAAGAGGATTCAAACTATACTTTTCGTATTCAAAATTCTATATTCTCTCAGAATATGTCTTAGTTTGAGCTGAAATATTAGTAGTTTTAAAGGAGAGCCCTGGAGAGACAGTGGTTGTTCCAACTTAATATTTCTTAAAGTTGAAAAACAGTACAGAGTTTATAAACCGTTGAAAAAAAATATTAATAAAAATCTAAGAGGATTCAAACTATACTTGTCGTATTCAGAATTCTATATTCTATCAGAATATGTCTTAGTTTGAGCTGAAATATTAGTAGTTTTAAAGGAGAGCTCGGGAGAGACAGTGGTTGTTCCACTTAATATTTCTTAAAGTTGAAAAAACAGTACAGAGTTTATAAACCGTTGAAAAAAATATTAATAAAAATCTAAGAGGATTCAAACTATACTTTTCGTATTCAAAATTCTATATTCTCTCAGAATATGTCTTAGTTTGAGCTGAAATATTAGTAGTTTTAAGGGAGAGCCCTGGAGAGACAGTGGTTGTTCCACTTAATATTTCTTAAAGTTGAAAAAACAGTACAGAGTTTATAAACCGTTGAAAAAAATATTAGTAAAAATCTAAGAGGATTCAAACTATACTTGTCGTATTCAGAATTCTATATTCTATCAGAATATGTCTTAGTTTGAGCTGAAATGTTAATAGTTTTGAGGGAGAGCCCGGGAGAGACAGCGGTAGTTCCGGTTTGGTTTGTTTCTTTCATCTGTCGTCTTTGATTGTTCCGGCTGGTAAATCAGGGAACATATTTTCTTATTTGTTTAAGAATTACTTTAAATCAATTCTATAAAACCTACAATTAAAAATAAACACATATAAAGTGAATAATTAACAATTTTGATGTTTTTACGTAATTATTCTGCATTAAGTACAGTGTTTCCTGGTTGTTGATAATCACCTATAGGCGATACTGTACATACATTACATACCTAGGTAAGTGTAAAACAATTAGCGATAATAAGGAATAATAATTAATTATTATTTATCGAGTTATTTGTAGTATTATTATTGTTTAACAATAAATTATCATTTTTTTTTAAATTAATTTCTATATATTTATGTCTTAAATTATATGTTACAATAATTATTGTTGAAAAAACTTTTTGAGATCGTTTTTTTAAGCAGATAAAATTAGTAATTCCGTGTTTTCGATCCGAAATAAGAACAAAATTAGGATTAAACATCCGTCAGGACGACAGTGGAGTCCAAAAAGGGTAATTAAACCTTTTTAATAAGCAGCATTTTGCCGGGATTAAAAATAGAAAAGTATTTCGTTTATATTTCGAAATGAGACTTCTTGTATTTCGCAACTAATTTCCAAACGTTTTTCTTGTTTCGACCAGAACCTTTTCCAGCAAAACAGAAGCGTACAGAACTTTTTTTTTTTAATTTTTTGTCTAATTTTTTTTAATTCGTTAGATATTATTAGAATATTTTGAACTGGAAAACGGTAGTAATGGATCTATATTAGGTCCCTTAAGTGCTGTTAAGAATGTGAGTTTTGTTGATGTAAATAATAACTGTTTATATATTTATAATTAATTTATTTTTGTTTTCTAAAATATTTTGATTAAAGGAAAATATGTACAAGTGTGCAACGCTGTGCCGGTCAAGCTTAATCACGCGACTAAACGTTTATTTGTTATGAACTATAGTTGTCGATTATACAGGGTGAGTCTTAAATAAGCGCAAAAATTTTAGGGTTAGTATATTTCGTCCCTCAAAAACGATTTTGAGGTTTTTTTCGCAAATAAAAAATTGATTTTTTTTTTAGTTTTTAGTTTAAAATATGTAATTTCTTGATCATATGGCAACATAGGTAGCGGATTAAATTTACAAGAAAGAAAACCCAAAAAAGATCCAGTGGTTCTCAAAATTCAAACAACAAACATATTTTTTTGGATATTTTCAAACTAAAATAACTCGGTTATTTTGGACTCTTTTGAAATATTGAAAAGAGAAAATATGTTTTTTTATCGAGATCTACCAGCCCTGAAAGTATTTGCACTTATTTCAGACTCACCCTGTATATTCATGCACTCTATCTTGGTCTAGGACAAATAATCATTATTGTCTACTTTTAGAATTATAGCTTGTATATGTTTTTTACATATTTATATTGTTTTTTTTTCTTTCTTTCTGTATATATTTAACATTTATTGATATTAAAGTAATTTTCACTTATAATATCACAAGAGCTTAAATTATTTTCGGAAATTTTTTTGAGGGCACGAATATTTTGAAAATTATCCCGAGTCGAAGACGAGGGATAATTTTCCTAAAATATTCGTGCCCGAAAGAAAATTTCCAGGAATAATTTAAGCTTGCGTGGTATTCGGTAAGAAAATTTCACACCTAAATTTGAAAAAAAAAATATTAATCCAACATGACATTTTAAAATAATTTCAATTTGTTAATAATATTAACAAATGTTATTATATTTTTAATTAGTTACATCAAATGCTAAAACTCAAATGGGTAATATTTCAATATATAGACATTGTAGTTCATTCACATTATGATTGTAGATCTTATGTTTACCTTTTCAACTGTCAAAAAATTTCCACTAAAGTTTCGTGGCGCCTCGAAAAAATTTCCGGAAATTTTTTCAGTTGCCATGGTAACTAGTCAACATTAAAGCATGTTATTGGTTGAAAAGTAGAGGTGTGAAATTTTCAAAACAAGACACATCACAACAACTCGTCTTAGGTGCTTTTATCAAAAAAAACGTAAAAGTTAATAAAGTATAAAAAAAATTGGTATCGCTAAGGGTACAGTGTACGCCCCTGGCTTCATTTTACCCCTTCTTACTTCTCTTTAATCACAGAATTTCTGTGCTTACCTGCCCGCTTCTCGCTTTAATTCGTCATTATTTTACTTTTAATATTTCATTAGAAATTAAACGTTTTTTTTTGGCTCTCCTCGAGGAACTGTCACACTTTTTGCCCTTTTTGGACCGTCCGACTTCTGCTGCGAGAGGAGCACCGTTGGAAATTTTAAGAGGAAATTAAAAGTTGGAGAAATTCGAGTTTTAATTAATGGGAGGGAATTATTATTGTAGGTGTTTGGAGTGGAACAATTATTTTTAGAGACGCTTTAACTAGGAATTTCCTTCCAAAAAAGGTAGAGTTTTAAGTTTCCCCTTTGGTTTGAGGCTCGATAATGACTGTACTTATCTGGATATATCGTTAATAAAAAAAATAATATATTATTTTTTGATTTAATTACAAATATATGGTTTACGGATTCTCTATAGGCTTAGTGCATTCTCCGCCGGTGCTGCCACCATCGGAGAATATTGGAAACAACTAGTACATACAAACACACGGGTTTAAATAGCGAGTATACGAAAAATTTATTATTTAAATATTCTAGAAGTGTTAGGAAGTATAATTTGGGAAAATTCTAAGAATAAAAATAAAAAAGTAAATATACTCTGTTTTTTTCTCAGGTAAGATTTCGACAGACGATGACAGAAGAAAAGCATATGACGTCCCATACCAATCTATTTGTTTTACTAAAAAAAGTTTCTAATAATTTTTACGTTATCTATGGATGGGTTTAAATATAAATCCGTCATGCGTCGTGTCTTGTTGTTTTTAACCAGTTTTATTGGTTTATTTAAAAAATGACAGATCGTATTTCAATTTTATTGGTTTGACGGAACAATGAACGACAAACGGACGCCGATGCGTATGAACTCGCCTTTAGATTTTTGTCATTTTTGACGCTTGTCAAAGTCTTGCCAAATTATAGGTTATAATTTTGTGTCAACTTTTGTTAAATACCCTGCGTTTTGGAAGATGATGCATTTTGATTCGTATTATTACGTGTGTTTTGTGTCTTTTGAAGTCAAGTGGAGGAAAAATCGAGTGAAAATTAACTGTAGACCCAGAGCACAGTTTATGGTTAATACTCGCTGCCCAGGCAGAAAGTCTTATACACC